GATATCATCGTTTTTATTAGTGTTAATTTGATATACTTTTTTAAATTTATATACTCTGTATTATACTGCAAACGTTTTTGTACTTATTGTTGTAACTTATAGGTACGTTGTCGTTTTTACTAAATATATTTAGGACAATATTAGTATACATAATAATATAATTTCGGTTACTTGATATTATTGTTTTACCCGCRAGACGTTTATTACTTCAGGAAAGGAAAAATACATAAAAAAAATTAATAGACATAGACATCCGGACCACGGCATTTTATAATAACAATAACAACAATGACAACGATATAGTCACGCTCACATTAAATATATTGTGGGCAATTTACGGCGTGCAGCACCCGCGCGTTCGCTTGATGCCCATTTATGGGCGGTCATCGAGCGAGCGCGCACGACGGATGACCGCCAGTGCGCGGCGTGCAGTAGAATGAGTCATCAACATTCAACACTCTTGGACGTCGACTACCGAGAGCGCGCGTATGCCKAGCCGTTTACTAGGCGACGGCGGCCACTCGCGCCCCGTGCAAAACGACGGCGCGCGCGGAGGAGGCGCCTCGACGGCGAAAGTCGCGCAACGGCCACGCGCCGCGATAAAGCGCGCGCGCACGCACTCGCCGAACACCCGACAAAGGACGACCAACGGGGCGTTGGTGGAWGAGTGGAAGGTTGGGTGGCGGTGAAGAGGCAGAGCCGCGCCGACCTTGCCGTCGTTTTGTACATATTAGGTCGTCGACGGCGCGGCGGTTATCAACGCCGTTATTTTAGCAAACAACAATATTATTRCACTATAACGACATCGCTGTCCACCGCGGCGGCCCACGTGCCGACGACTTCGACCACCTCTTTTGCGTGTCCGTCCGTGCCGAGTCAGTGTTCGAACTGCACTCGACGGTGCAAGTTGTACACGCGATAATAATATACGATTTACCTACTGCAGTAGTCGTGATTCACGCACACGTGTTGCCGGCGGCGGGTAACGATAACAGTACGATCACTGTCGTCATCGTSGTCGCGTTCCGCGGACTTCGAACATCTCGATATAGGCACTCAAGCCTACCGCCGCCGCACTGCGAGGAACCACCGACCAGCTATATTATAATAATATTACAGTTTAACAGATTTTCTACCTGCGAATGTAATAATTATATAATATGATCAAGGATTAATTGTGATTAGTGAAAAAATAATTAACTCGAGTTAATATAGCAAAATCATCGTTAACTGTTCACAAGCAATAAGTTTAGCTCGCCTGGTAAGTTTAAAGTCA